ACAGTGCTAAACAATAACAAAGATAGTAATACAAGAATTATTCTAGAATGAATAACATTTCAAGGGTAAATGCTAGTGAAAATCGGGCAAGGGATAGTGATGATCTTGGGCGAAGATCAAGTGTAACAATACATACATACTATTACATTGAATCGTTTATTCAAATATTAAGATTTTCATTACGGTATAATCTATTATTTAAAATTATTGTGTGTAATAACATATCAATAATATTTACATATAAAAATAAAATAAACGTGGTAAAAATCACTAGGTAACTTTAATATGTTTACTTTCGAAACTTATGAGATTAAGAAGGATAATGAAATTTTTAAAATATCTCACCAATATTCTTTATCCTTCTTTAATTTCACAAGTTCTTTTTCATTTTTTTCTAATCTCGTAATTCGAATCTTGATATGAAAACGAACTTGCCTAATTAAAGAAGGATAAAGAATATTGGCAAAATAATTGGTTATTAAATTCTTAATAAACAATTGAATAATATTTAAATTGGTTTTCCGTTATATTGGGATATTGACTTTTTGTCAATGCTGAGATATTGACTCTCTGTCATGTTGAGATATTGACTTTTTGTCAATGCTGAGATATTGACCTTTCGTTCTTAATAAAATGAGATAATTATTTATATTCGTAATTTTGATTATAATCTGGGATATCACCCAAAATAAAAGGTTGATTATAAAAATGATAAAGTAATATCGATTGAACATATTATTTCGTCCTTCCAGGATATAATTACGAGACAGCAAAACTCTATCTTAAATAATAAATTAATTATGCATATCTATATAAAAACAAGTTTAAATCAATTTTTCATAAACACCAATCAGAAATTATTTCCCTAAAAAATCTCATATAAATAAGTCTTACCATCCACATTTTTTTTTCAAAAGTCCAAAATGGAATCCGATACTGATTCTCAAACTATCTCATCTCAAAATTCCTTAGATTCTCAAGAAACTATAACTTATAAAGTCGATCGTTACAAAAGAAAAATAAAAAATCCGCAGACAACAAATGGCGATAATGGCGCTATTGCACGAGTAGTCATCTATGAGGAGTACATGCGCAATCCTGCATCATTGAGAAA